ACTATTCATGATACTTTATCCTTTCTGTTATTTTTTTTATTTTGTTATTCGGAGTCAAGGTCTTGTTAGGTAGTAGCCCAGGTTAACCTTGAATTTTCAGTGAGCCTCTTATGTCAGCCTCTTGAGGTTACCAGCCAACACTACCATATCCAATTTGTTTCGTTTAGAGCCAAAGTATCAGTAAGCTTCACAGACTGGTTTTGAACTATTAACCGCAATCATCCTCATGCCTTAGCCTCCCCAGTCATAAACTATAGGCTCACAAGCACTGTGCCCAGACATATACGTTATTTTTAATATCAGTAATGTCAACATTTTAACTAATACTTAATCCTATCACTGATTATCAGGTTATCATTAACTTCAGGACATTCTACCTTTTAAATAACTACTTTCCGCAAGATGAAGCTGTGGCTGGGAAAAGACTCAGTGGTTAAGAGCACACGCTGCTCTACCAGAGGACCCAAGTTTGATTTCAAACATCCACATCAGGCAGCTCACAACTGCTTGTAACTCCAACTCCCAGGGGATCTGACACCTGTGGCTTCTATAGGCACCTGAATTCTTAGACACAGACACACAGACACATAATTTAAAAAAAAATAAAAAATAAAAAAATAGGGCTAGAGAGATATAGCTCAGCAGCTAAAAGCACTTGTTGCAGCCAGACATGGTGGTACACACCTTTAATTCCAGCACTCAAAGGGAGGCAGAGGCAGGAAGACCTCTGTAAATTCAAGGCTATCCTGTTCTACAGAGCAAGTTCCAGGATAGCTAGGACTACATAGAGGCCCAGTAACAGAACCTCCCCGCCTAAAAAAAAAAAAAATTGTTGCTCTTGCAGAACTTTGGCTCAGTTCCCAGCATCCACATGATGGTTCATAACCATTCACAGGCTCAGTTCCAGGGATCTGATGCTCCCTCTGGTCTCCTTAGGCATTAAGCATACATGCGGTACACAAACACACGCAGGCAAAACATTCATAAAATAAAAGCAATTTTATATTTTATAAATAAATCAATAATTTTTAAAACATTAAATAAGCCTAGAACACTTGATATTTTTACCTGAATTCTGAACTTCTCTCTCAAAGTAAGAAAATTCAAGTAAGAATCCAAGATAGGACATGGCTTTGATTATTACATAGTTACTCTCTGTATATATGGGCCGGTTAGCTTCAATTAACAAAAAGTTACAAATCCCCAAAGGCTAAATCCTGTAGCCCACCTCTTAGCTCAAGATTTAGCTAGATCAGATACAACATAAAGTCGCCCCCTTAAACCAACTGGGCAGTCCAAGACCTCCCAGTGCACACATGAAACTGAGTGTAGGACCAGACTTTGTATATACATTTTCTCCTATACATACATGTCTATGAAGTTTAATTTATAAATTAAGCACAGTAAGATTATCAACAATATTGGAGCAACTTAACATTACACTATAATGGAAACATTGCAAATGTGATCTCTATTTTTTTCTCTTAAAATATCTTACCCTTAACTTAAGGAAGCAATTTCTAGTTTTTCTTTGGATAATCTGAATTGCTAGCTGTATCAAAAGGGATACTTACAATACTAAAATACCCCAACAGTCTACTTGTTGGCCACAATGGCTAGTATTTCACTAGTAGGCACAGACAGTGAGTACACTGAACCATGGTGACTCATGACTAGGCCAGAACAATGGCACAGTACAAAATTTCATCACTATTCCAAACAACACAAAACGTAAATGTCTAGATCCATGGTTCTCGACATTCTTAATGCTTCGACGCTTAATACAGTTCCTCACATTGTGGTGACCCCCAACCATAAAATTATTTTTGTTGCTACTTCGTAACTAATTTTGCTGTTTTGGATCGTAATATAAGTATTTTTGGAGATAGGCTTGCCAAAAGGGTCACAACCCACATGTTGAGAACCACTAGTCTGGATGGTTTATTTCTGGAATTTTCCATCTAATATTTTTTAAAACCACAACTGAATGATGGTTAACTGAAACTACTGAAGGTTAAACTATGAATGTGTACTGAGTAGAAGGGATACTATTGTATTCAGAATACATTTCATCACCAGAATTCTAGGGCACATCAAGTGTATCAACTTAAGATGTTAGAGACTAAATTAACCACTTTCGGTATACCTCTGAACTGTTTTAAGAGTGTGCTTGTCAATAAATGCTAAGCTGTTAACTCTTGCTCAATGTGTGGTCTAGTCACATACAAGGTCTCACAACCAGTACTTATTATCGTTAGTGTAGGCCACCAAGTATAGTACCAAACAATCTGTGTTACAGGCCTGGAGTAACAACAGATCTATAATCCTGGCTACTTAGGAATCCTGGACAGTTCAGGTGAAGGCCATCCTGGGCTACACTGCAAGTTCAAAGCGAACTGGACAAGTGAATTGAAGCCTTATACCAAAAGGGGCTGGGGATGTAGCTCTGTATAGTGTTTGCCTACCATCTGTGAAGCTCTGAGTTCAAATTCAAGTACCACAAAACAACAAAATCCATTTTATATAAGGCCCTATTAAAGCCAGGCAGTGGTGGTGCACACTACTAATCCCAGCACTCAGGAGGCAGGGAGATCTCTGTGAGTTCGAGGACAGCTTGGTCTACAGAGCAAGTTCCAAGAGAGCCAAGACTACACGGAGAAACCCTGTCTCGAAAAAGAGAAAACAAAAAGATCATATTATCAAGATCACTTTGAAATTCTATTTTTTGTCTTCCAAGACCTTAGTCGTCCTTCAGATTTTATTTCACCATCACCCAACACTGGGGAAAAATACAGATGAGGACAAAATTTCCCAGTTTGCTCTCCTGTCACTGCCTGTTCTCAAAGTCTGACTACTGACTGGGTTCCATGAGTCAGTAATTCGATCCCAGCATATTGCTAAGATTACTATTTATTTCAGGAATGAAACACGTTCTTCCGTGGTTACAAAGCCACCATGATATAAAAAACACAATGCACAACATGGGAAGAAGAAAGGAACTCTAAGTGCCAGGAGAGCTGAGTGCTCCTTTCTTTACATAGGCTCAGGTAACCCTCAAGCCCCTTTGACATGTTATCCTCTAAATTGGAATGAAACAGGAAAGGGGAAAAAAGAACAGTTAAGCAACTTACAGTTTAAGGACTTTGAAGACAGCCACAATCTAAGTTTAATACTACTTTCTGCAACACAGAAGTTCTTCTTTCTAGGTTTGTGAAAGTGTGTGACAAGGAACTTATTGCAAAACCTCAGTCTCCTCATCTAGAAAATGAAGTTCAATAACTACCAAGAATTTATTTTAGAGCCTAGCATACAATAACCTCTCAGTAACTACTGGCATTGACAAAAACAGAACACTAGCAGTCAGGTCTGAGGCCCATACTCCACACTCTCTATCACAGTTTTCTACAGTTGTCAACAGAGTTTCACAGAGCTCAGGCTAGCCCTAAACTGAGTCTGTGGTTGAGGATGCCTTGAACTTCTTCTGATCCTCCTGCAGATTACAAGCATTTGACACCACAACCAGGATTTTACCCTGGATAGAGCCTCATGAATATAGTAGCAAGCACTTTACCAACTGAACTACATCCCCAGCCCAAACACTTATTCACAGAAGAATCGATATTTGAAAAATAAACGTTTTGGGCTGGAGAGGTGACTCAGCAGTTAAGAGCACTGGTTGCTCTTCCACAGGACCAGGGTTCACTTCCCAGCACTCACATGGCAGCTCACAATTGTAACTCCAGTTCCAGGGAATCCAACACCCTCACACAGACATACATGCAGGCAAAACACCAATGCACATAAAATAAAAATAAATGATTTTTAAAAAATTTGGAAAACTTGACATTACCTACTGAACTCTTTTAATACTAAAATCTGATTACAGAACCAAGTACACCTCATCAGACATTGAGTTTTGTTCTAATAACTATGAAACTAGTTCCATACCAATAGAGAACTTGTATTATTTCAAACTCGTTCTAAATTAAACTTCAAATTGTTACTAGTTGGCCTGGACAAAGAAATCAATCATCCTACAACATCTCAACGTGAAGCAATTCAAATAATACCACTCTTCCTCCCCATCCCATAACCAAAAACAATGTTTAAAATCTCAACTACATCACCCTCAGCTTAATCTAATGATGAATGATTGGGAAGTGGTAAGAGCAGCTATTAATACTAGGAAAGCAGCAAAATGTATCCTCTAGGCTAGAGGGAGCGGGGCTGCCTGTAATTCAACCCGGGCTGCACACAGCCGACCTTGTTTTTAAAACATTTTTCTTCTTCTTCTACAACAACCATTAGTAGATTTACTATTTCAAAAAAACCTTCAGAAACTGATGAACTTTTGAAGCTATCATTAAGCCCAGATGGGATGTCCACACAATCTACTTTGGAAACCACAGCCTATTCAGCAAAGCGACAATCCTCAAAAAAGAATGCTACAAAATCAATGTGTGTTTTAGTAAAGAGGACTGGTTCTAATCAAAGGTGGAGCACTTTTAATGATGTCCTGGCCCTTCAAAAATAAAAATCACTGGAATTAGAGCGATGGCTCAGCAGTAAGAGGGCTTGCTGCTCTTACAAAGGACCTGAGTTCGGCTCCCAACACCCACAGCAGGCAGCTCACACCACCTCTAACTCCAGTTCCAAAGGGTCTGGCCTCCGAGGGCACCCACACATGTTACAGACATACACACATAAATAAAAAATACTTTAAAATAACAATAAACTTCCATGTTAGCCACAAACCCTCTAGTAGAATGTTCATCCTTAAAAGTTCCCACATCCCTTGGAGTTAAAAAAAAAAAATCCTAACTTCGTGACTCACAGATCAAAACTCACTATTAACATACTCAAGTATGTTCCATTCAGTTCAGAATCATGTAAGTTTCTAGGTTTACAACGCCCATTTATTTTGCACTAACATAAACCACTAAATACAGTTCTAAATCTAAAACATTAATGATTAGTAGTTAATTACATAAGTGACTCACACCTCTTATGTGCAGACACCCAAGATCCTAGGACGCTGCTGTCAGTCCTAAGGGAAAAGGAAACAATAAACACCTGTCACAAAAGCTTTCCAAATTGGGAAGCCCCGAACAGTTACAGTCAATCCCCGTTGCTATTCCTTCCCTCCCTCCCTCCCAACTCCACACCCCATCATAAAATACATCATTCAGCCAACAGTCTGTGTGAAGGGCAGACCAGAAAGAACTATACTAGCGGAATGGGCTCTGGGTCCTTCTGGTCCTCAAGGCCCGGCCTTTCTCTTCACAATCTCGAGTGTTGACATCTCATCATATCCGAAGTCACTTTTCCTTTCTCGATTACCTCGGTTATCTATAAAGTGTGCCGATAATACCCTAGGTAATCTACTACTACTCCATGGCCGGGGCCGAACTTGAACTCAGTCAGCACCGGCACGAACCCATCAGGGACTCTGCCCACACTCTTCCTTCGGGGCACATCACCTTCTAGACTTTCTAGAGCGGCTGACCCACCGGCCCGGGGCCGCACGCAGCGGATGCACTCCAGGCCGCCTCCACACCCACACGTGGTCCCAGACAGTGCCGGGTCTCGTCGCCCTCTCCCCGTGTCACACACACACACACACACACACACACACACACACACACACACAGACAGTGCCGGGTCTCGTCGCCCTCTCCCCGTGTCACTCACTCACACACACACACACACACACACACACACCCCTTTCCCCGAGAGGTGATGTCCAATTCGGGCCGAGGAAGCAGCCAGCCACAGACTCACCTGGTACCCGCCACCCGGGCGACGCCGCTCGCCTCCTCCAGCCTCCCCATCTCCGCCGCCGCCGCCCGCCCCACACCCCGCTCACCCAATCACTCACCAGCCGCGTCGCCGTGCTGACTCCTCGGCGGCCTCCCGGCCCGGGCAGCCAAAAGGCCGCAGGGGACCGGGCGGCCGCTTTCGCCGCCGCCACCGCCGCCGCCGCCGCCGCCTCTCAGCCCAGCCCCATCGCCCTCGGCCAGCGCCGGCGGCCGCGGGTCGCTGGGGCTCGAGGCGCCGCCGCCGCGCGTCGCGGCTCGGACAGTGGGGACGGAGGCGCAGCGGCGGGGCCCGGGCCGCACCGGGCGCAGGGGCGTCCGCGCTCCGCTCGTCGGCGCCCGCGGCGGCGGCGGCGGCGTACAACCGGGCAGGGCGAGAACAAGGGAGCGCGGCGCGGAGGACCGGCAGGGTTTCGGGGGGCGGTCCGCGTTGAGAAGAGGCCTCCCGCCGTCGGCGACGAAGCGGACCCCCCTCCCCGCGGCCACGGCGCCCGGTCACGCTGCGGGGAGGGCCGGCGGGCACACGGGGAGCGCCCCGCGAGCTCAGGACTCCCGCGCCGGATGTGAGGTCACGTGATTGCCTCATCCCAGCGCCCCGCGCGGAGGGGCCGTCAGGGGGCGGGGCGACTCCGCGGCCCCGCCCACCTCCTCGCCATCGGGGGCCCCCACCAGCCCGCCTGAGCCAGAACCGCTAGCGGGAGGCGCCGGGAAAGAGCGCTCGGCGAGGGATGCTGCTCGGGGCTCGTTTCACGGGAGACGATGCACGGTGTGTGGCTTGCCGTGCAAAGAGGAGATCACAGTCCAAACCCCCATTTTAGGAACAAAGAAACTGAGGCCCAGAGAGATGAGTGCTGACTTGTCTAAGGTGGCGGTCCAGAGAGGCCGCTTGTGCTAACAAGGTGGAGAGAGAAGTCCTAGCTCCGGGGCCAGACTCTTTCCCTCCTTTATCCCCACCTACACCCAAAAAAGAACACTTTTAATTCCAATGGAACTCCTGGCCCGGCCCGCGGGCGTGGGACAGAGAACAGTCAGGTAAGCAAGAGAGAAAAAGCTTCCACACCCGAGACCGCCTGGGCCTCAGGGAGGAGTTTTTCCGACAGTGCTGGATGCAAATTAAATGCTTCCCTCCACTGGAGACTTATCTCAGCGCTCTAACCAGCCCGGATATTCAAATCGCGGGTTTGGGTTTTCACTGCCTTCCGCCTCGCGCCGAGCGCGGGAAGCAGAGCTTGCCACCTGCTGCCTCCAGCTCCGCCATCTTTTCGCCCTGAGTCTACCTCACCTGCATCCAGGCGCCTGGCCACCACTTGTTATTGTTCTCCTGCCTTCCTGCAAACATAAGCTGCTTGACGGTCTTAGAGGAAGGAACAGCATGTGCTCAAGCCCTGTTCCTCAGACTTAGACTTAGTCCCCCAGGGGCAAGGAGCGTTCAGCCTAGTCACCCCTCAGGACATGGCCTCTTAGTCCGCAGCACAGAATGGCACCTCGTTTGGGTCAGTACAGTGTCCCAGAACCATGGCACTAATTAATACACCTCATTTAGGAACTAAAAGGATGCTGCTCCTGCCCTCCACCCGCGGCGGTGGGGTCCTGGATGGCAGCCACGGAATTTCTTCTTGCCAGATGATATGAACAACGCACTAAACGAAGATAAGCCACAGCTGTGTATTCCCAGCTCCCCACTATGTTACTTCAGTGTGTGCTTCCTACCCCACGTGTGCTAGAGTAAGCAAATGGGGTAAGGACTGGGGAAGCCTGGGTAGGGCTGAACAAACCCCACACACACATTCCTTCCAGCGCCCTTGACTCCTGGTTATTTACCTCTCAAATTTTAAACAAGCAAGCCTCTCCAGGCCCTATAAAGTGTCAAGGCAACCATCCACTTAGAGTGCCCTCTTCAGTTAGCTGCCAAGTGTTTCTGGCCCTCTCCACACACCTCTTGAACAGTGGTCTCTCTCCTGGCTGCTTCTACTTCCTCATTCCTCAACTCTAGGCAAACTGACCACACACACACACACACACAAAGAGAAGAGAGAAAGAAAGGCCCTTCTTTACCCTGCTCAGGTGAGAGTAGCCCATAACCTTCATGTCACCCACCATTGGGGCAGAAACTGCTTTGCTTCTTCCTCTGGACTACCTCTGCACCCCTGGGTGTTCTCGCCTTCTGGAATCGCTCTACTACTTCAGTTTGCGGAGGACTGTGCTCTCTCTCCCAGTTCTCAAGTCCCAGTACCTAAGACCTCTGCCTTCATCAACGGCATCCTTAAGTGCCACCCGTTGTGAAACAGCACCTGAAATGCGGGGCAGCGCTCTAAGCCCACAGCTGTCCTCCCTCGGCTTTACTCTAGCTGTTTTGAACTCCCAAATCAGCCAGACCTCTTCTTTTAAAAAAGAGAGAGAGAATCAAATATCCAACTACCTGCCGTGCACCTCTGTCTAGAGCTCACAGAAAAACACCCATGCATGGTACGTCCAAAACTGAACTCGTCCTCTACCTTTATAACTGCCCCCTCCCGAAGCTATTAGCAGGACCATCACACAGCCATCTGAATTAGAAAGTTAAGAATGAATGAGTCACCCCTGATGACTCACTAAGCCCTATCTATTTCACCTCGAATTCCTGCCTCCATCCCCTGGCACCCAGCCTTTCTGAGCTATGCTGCTTTGGCAGCCTCCCACCAGCCTTCTTCAGACAAACTCATCCTCCGTCCTGTTAGAACCCTACAGTCAATGCACTCAGGCTTTTATTTTTTATTGCACTTATTTGTTGGGGATGGGGAGAGCATCACAGCACAAGGGAAGATGTCAGAGAACGACCTTTCGGAGTTGGTTCTCTGGTTCTACCCTCTAAGTCCCAGGGATGGAATTCAGGTGGTCGGGCCTGGCAGTGCCTAGACCGGCCATCTCACAGGCCAGCACTCAGGCTTTTAAAAGACACTAAGAGCTCACACTTGGTGATACATGCCTATAAAATCAGCACTAGGGAGGTGGAAGCAAGGTGAATTTGTAGCCAGCTGGGGCTATGAGACCCAGACAACTCATTGTGTTGTCTCAAACAACCTTGAAAAGCCCAGACTTCAAGATGCAGCCACATTTCTCAAACTAAGGCAACTCACATAGGACAAGGAAACTCCAGGAAGAAATAAAGCAGTTAAATGTTTCAAGAAGTTTTTTGCTACCGATGCTTTAAGTATGGAGAGAAGAGAATCTAAACACAGGTTTGGGGAGGAGATACTGAGTCAGGCTTGAACAAGTTTAAAGGCTGAGGAAGATATGGAAAAGAGAGTCCCCAAACAGGACCGAAAGTGAGAAGAGCCAGTCTTGAAATTTTTGAAAGCTTGAGTGATACTCAACCTATCACATTTCTGGGCCCCAGACTTCTGTTACGCTAGACCCAGGCTTTCCTTTTCCTGGTCACTATTTAAGGCCCAACCCAAGCTAAGTATGTTGGGCCACACCTAAAATTGAAGCTATTAGGGAATGAGTCAGGAGGATCACATGAGTGCTGGAGTTCAAGGCCAGCCAGAGTAACATATGGAGACTGCACCTCCAAAAAAGAAGAGAAAAGAGCAGAAACAGACAACAGAGCACTCCACCCAGGACCGCAGATGCAGACCACAGTCTTACAGACACAGCTGACCATTCTTGCCACCAAATGGAGCTTCCCATCGTCAAAATCCATCTTTACTTTTATCAACCCCAATCACTTCTACCACTTTACCTCCTGTTACCAAGAAAACTGCAAAGCATTTGTAGAGACTTATACTCAATCCCCTTGCCCCAGATCTACACATCACCCCCATACTACTTCTAGTTTTTGTTTGTTTTGTTTTTAAAGATTTATTTACTATGTATATACAGCATGTATGTCTGCAGGCCAGAAGAGGGCATCAGATCTCGTTACAGATGGTTGTGAGCCACCATGTGGTTGCTGGAAATTGAACTCAGGACCTCTGGAAGAGCAATCAGTGCTCTTAACCTCTGAGCCATCTCTCCAGCCCCTACAATAGTTTTTTTTTTTTTTTTTAGTCCCGTTCTAAAGACACAAAGCACCCTCCAGAAAGAGCTATCTATCTATAACAGCGGTTCTCAACCTTCCTAATGCTGCGACCCTTTAATATAGTTCCTCATGTTGTGGTGACCCCCAACGATAAAATTATTTTTGTTGTTATTTCATAATCTTGCTACTGTTATGAATCATAATGTAAATATTTTTGGAGGTAGAGGTTTGCCAAAGGGGTCGCAATGCACAGGTTGAGAACCACTGCCCTAAGTTCAGGGCCAGGCCCCAAGGAGGTCACTACTGTTCTCAATGCCAGGGGACTCTATGTTTCTAGCTCTCTACTCACCCACCCCGACAGAATTCATCACCCCATCTTTCATTTTTATTTATTTATTTTATGTGCATGAGTGTTTTGCCTGCATGTATGTCTGTGTACCACATGCCTGACTGGTACCCTTGGAGGCCAGAAGAGGGGGTCATCTCCTGGAACTGGAGTTACAGACAGATATAAGCTGCTATGTACGTGGCAAGAATTGAACCTGGACCCTCTGGAAGACATCCAGCTCTCTGCAGTCCGTTATTTATTTTTGAGTCTCTCTTTGTCACTCTGGCTGGCCTGGAACCCACTATGTAGACCCAGAATGGCTTGGAATTTGTGGCAGTCCTCCAGGGAGTACTGAGACTCCAGGCATGCCACCTAGCTCTCCCTCTTTGAAACACCTTTTCTACCAATTGTGTTTGATTATGTAGTCTTGGAATTCTTCCTCTTTGTTACTCCTCTCTGTCTGTCTGTTTGTCTGTCTCTCTCTCTCTCTCTCTCATACACACACACACACACACACACACACACACACACACACACAGTCAAAGAGCCAAAGATAGCACCTCTGATGTATACAATAACATACTCTTCCCAGGTAACCTTGTCTATCATGGCTATAGCTATCATCTGCATGTACATTAATAATTTTCAACTGCATCCCCACAGCCCACCCCTCTCTTCAGAGAGTCAGGATGATACAGACCTCTGTCCCTATCTTTGTCATTGTTGTTTGTTTTGTTTTAAGATTTAATTTTTTTTAATTATATGGTGGTGGCGGGGGGGGGGGGGGGGGGGTGGGGGTGGGGGGTGGTGGTGGTGGAAGGGGTGAGTATGTACATGTAAATGCCCAAGGCTGTGAAGGCCAG